CCCCCCCCCCCCCAACCCCCAGCCGCTCCTGTACCCCCTGTCAGCCTCACACACACGTACTGTAGTCACCTAAGGCATCAAGCGCACACACAAACACACACTAAACCTTAACTACTTAGACTCACACACATACCTGTCCATCCTGCCCATATCAAGGTGTGTTTGTCTTTCCCTGCCCACCAGTTTAGGTCCTCCCAGAGCAGGTATTTCCCTTTCTTACCCACAGAAAAACACACACTGGAGTGGGGGAGGGGGTGCGGGTGGGGTGGGGGGGTGTCTATGGGCCGAGTGTGTAAAGCACTTGCATTGATAACCTGCAGCACAGAGTCAGTGGGTCTCACTCTGTGGTCGTCCCCCTCGCCTGGAAGTCCCTTTGCCGTGCTGTGTGTCCTCCTGGCTCATCTTTCTAGGACCGTCTGCATTAGGTCGTCGTCCCCGTCCTGCCGCTGTCACCATGATGCTTACACCGCCGTTGTTCCTTCTGCTTCTGGGCCTGATAGGAGCTCAAGCCACTGTGGACACGAGAACAGCCGCCGCCATGGGTAAGAAGACGGCCATGACTTTTACTCCTTAAACTGATCTGAATGGTGAATAATTACGTCTGATGTTTAAGTTACATCTCTCTCTCTCTCTCTGTCAACTTTTTGTTTGACCTGAGTAGTGAGGTCACTTAGTGATGCCTCAGGTGATAGGCACAGAGACTGTCCACTTCAAGCCAGCACCCTTTTTTCAGCGGTCTGCCATCAATGTCTGTGGAACTGTCCAATCATCTGTGCTGTTGGTTAATAATCAAATAAGCATTTGTATAAAATAGAAAACAAGTTATATTTTGGTAAATATAATTGTTTGTCCAAAGCCGGAGAAGAAAATTTGTGGATAAAGACTTAATACAGTTGTATTGAGTGTTTGATGTTCTTAAAGCTTTGTGTTAATAAGAAACAATTTTATTGCATTTGATATCCCAAAAAATATTTTCTATTTTTGTTTGTTAAAACTGACTGGTTTACGTTAGATTAAAATATGTACAGATAAATTCAGATACAGCAGCTGTTCATTTGAGGTCGTCTGTGTGTGTAGGGGTAAGGTAGATACAGGATGGAGGGGGAGAGGTGAAGGGTGAGAAGGGAGATCAGTGATGTTCTGCAGACATCTGTACTTTTTAACCAGGCGCCTGTTTATTTAAAAAGTACCTTCATTTCTAATCCTACATTAAAAACCCATCTCTGCCTCTGACAGCAACACTGGCAGCTATTTTTGTTTCATTTCTTAACCACACAATGCAGATCTGCCAGGGGTTTCCAGCTACTGTACGTGGGGATTTGTTTACTAAATCCAGCCTAAATGTTGGTGAAAACAGACAAATATTATTCTTCAGTAGCCACTGTTTCTGTTTTTTTTCCTCCTTGATTTTAAAACCGTATCAAAGTTGATGTTTTTGTAGTTTCCAAATAAAACAAAGAAAATCCTAAATTTGCTAATAATTTTAATGAAATGTATTTGGTGCTTTAAAAATGAGATTCAAATGAGATTTCCTCTAATTCCGTCTTTTCTTCCATTCTTGTTTTCAGCCTTGTCTTCACCTTCTCTAACGCTCACCCCTTTGCATCTCTGCTTCAATCACCTCTTTTTTCCCCCTCTTCCACTCGCTCCCACCTTTTATAGCATAGTCATTATAACGTAATGACTTTTCTCATTTTTACACACAGCGGCAGGTTTGTGCAAAACCCGTCCCACAGACCTGGTGTTCATCATCGACAGCAGTCGGAGTGTTCGTCCCTCAGAGTTTGAGCAGGTCAAGGTCTTCCTGGCTAAAGTCATCGAGGGGTTGGATGTTGGACCCAACGCCACCCGTGTGGGAGTGGTCAACTATGCCAGTCGTGTGAAGAACGAGGTGTGGAAGAATGGATCATGTTTGTCATGGTTGTTGAAAAGCTTTTATGCTCAACATTTTTACTCATCCTTTTTTTCTTTTCTTTTTTTTTTTTTAATGTAGGTGTCGCTTAAAACTCACCGCACCAAAGCCGGGCTGGTTAAAGCTGTGACTAAGATCGAGCCTCTGTCCACTGGAACAATGACCGGCCTGTCCATACAGTTTGCCCTGAACGTGGCCTTCAGTGAAGGCGAGGGTGCTCGTGTCAAATCCAATGATGTCAGCAAGGTTTGCTGCACGTTTTTCCGTTAAAGCTCTACATATCAGAACCCCATTTATTGTTCTGCATCTAACTATTCCACCTCCTCCACAGGTCGCCATTATTGTCACAGATGGGCGTCCACAGGACAACGTGAAGGACATCGCCCAGCGCGCACGCGACGCCGGCATCGAGATTTTTGCCATCGGTGTTGGACGTGTGGACATGAGCACTCTGAAGCAGATGGCCAGTGATCCCCTGGACGACCACGTGGACTACGTGGAGAGCTACAGTGTCATCGAGAAGCTCACCAAAAAGTTTCAGGAAGCCTTCTGTGGTAAGTCTGGAGGAGAGGTTCAAATTTTGTCCGCAATTAGGCCGCAGAAAAGAAGGAAATACAACCCAGTCCTTAGTGAGTGAGAAAACAGACCATGGTTTAAAAAAAAAATCCAGCCTGGGTGGACAACCATTATCCACGCCTTTATTTCACGGTGAAAGCTGTCTGCTGGCCTCCCTATAATGAGGGTAAGGTGTCAGGACTGTCATCTTCTCATTCCAGTTTATTGTTCTCCTCCCTTTTGACCTCGGCACTGCCTCAACACTGACAGCACAGTCATTCAGCAAGTCAAAGTCATCCACCACTTGCAGTGTATGAGGACATTAGGGCACGAACAGCCTTTTTGGAAACAAATATACTCCTTATCATCAGAAAACACTCTCATTACCTCAACTTAAGACTGACCTGCCAGGGCCACTCGTGGCAGTCAGTAAAAACTCTCATTATTGTTGTCCTTTGGTGCTCACAGTCTGCAGTCCTGGCTGCTCTGTGCCATTGTCTCTGCAGAAGTTTTGTCAAAGGGCAGAACTGCATGATGGCAGCGCTGGATTATTATTGGACGAGCCTGAGCTCTAAATTTAGAATCCGAGACACTGATGAAGATGATTGAAGGCGACTCCAATGTTCTCCACCTGTTTGTTTTAAGGATCCACTGGATTCCTGCATTTTCCACTAACGACCACATTGATTAGCTCTAAGTCTCCAGCAGGAAACAGTGGATCATTAAACATCTGTACTAGATTTTCAAACTGACATAGTTTCCTTCTCTTCTCCTAACTCCCATCACCCCAACCCCTCCTTCTGTGTCAACATTTAAACTGTGTGTATGTGCGCGTGTTCATCATCCACACACACACACGTACACACAGTGTCGGACCTGTGTGCCACTGGAGACCACGACTGTGAGCAGGTATGCATCAGCAGCCCAGGATCGTACAAGTGTGCCTGCAAAGATGGCTTTACCCTCAAGGACGATGGTCGCAGCTGCAGTGGTGAGTGTGTGTTAGCGTGAGTATGGAGGCATCCGCCTGAGCAGGATTGCTGTGCTAACGAACTGAGAGCTTTAACATGTTAGCTGTGTGTGTGTGTGTGTGTGTGTGTGTGTGTGTGCACCTTTGTCCTTTTCAGCATGCAGCAACTCTGTGACAGACGTGGTCTTCCTGATTGACGGCTCCAAGAGCATTCGTCCTGAGAACTTTGAGCTGGTCAAGAAGTGGATCAACCAGATCATCGATAAACTCGACGTTGCCGAAACCAAGGCCCACGTTGGGCTGGTGCAGTACTCCAGCTCAGTCCGACAGGTGAGTGTCGGGTTAAGATTAGAGCACCACCTGTGAGGTTTTTTATTTGTTATGAGAAGGTCAAAGGTTGCACATGTTTTTTTGGATTTAGATAAAGTATAAGAGGGGGCGTAGAGAGCTTGCTCACCTTGGAATTAAAGTCAGGAGTGGGAGATGAGGGTGGTCCAGGACATGTTAGGGTGAGCAGGTCGGTAGTGAGATGTACTGTTGGGTGACAGATGTATGCTTGGGAATACATCAGGGATCGGCTTCAAGCTTCCTAATGATCGCTCTGGTAACAGACCTGTTGACAGATGAGGTCAAGCAGGAGGCTCCGTGGACAGTGATGTTTGGAGATGACGTGGTTATCTATAGTGAGAGTAGGAGACAAGTAAGGAACCTAGAGAGATGGATGTTTGATTAGGAGTGTAGATGAGTGGTGGTCATACTTTATTTGATTATCTGCTTACAGGAGTTTCCTCTGGGCCGCTATAACAACAAGAAAGACCTGAAGGACGCTGTGAAGAAGATGGCCTACATGGAACGAGGAACCATGACTGGTCAGGCCCTTCGCTATCTGTTGGACAGCAGCTTCAGCATAGGTCAGGGTGCCCGACCTGGAGTCGCCAAGGTGGGCATTGTCTTCACTGATGGCCGCAGCCAAGATTATATCGGAGATGCTGCAAAAAAGGCAAAGGAACACGGTGAGGAAGAGTTAAAGATCCAGTATTCAGGAATTTTCCCCTTCTGTTTTAAAACAAACAGCTTGTGGCTCCCACTCCACTTTAGACTCTGTTTGTTCATGTCCTTCACTTGTACACGCAGTGACACTTGTACACATTTTCTGGACGTGTAACCGATGCATGTGTGTGTGTCTATGTTTCAGGCTTCAGGATGTATGCTGTTGGCGTTGGTAATGCAGTGGAGGATGAACTGAAAGAGATCGCCTCTGAGCCGACTGGAGAGCACTACTTCTACACTGCCGACTTCAAGGCCATGACCCAAATATCTAAGAAGCTGCAGATTAACATCTGCCAAGGTCAGACACAGACATCATCACATTCTGGCATAACCTGACTTTATACATTTGTACCTAAACTCAGGGCCTGACCGTGTGCTTTCTGATCCCACAGAGGACGATCCATGTGAATGTGACTCCCTCGTAAAGTTCCAAAAGAAAGTAGAAGATGCCCTACAGGCACTAACAAAAAAATATATCCTTTACAACAGGGGAAATGATGTTTGGAGGGAGGTCTTAATGATGTTATTATGCACTGTTGTCTTTTTTAATAGTTTAATTTTCTCCTTGACAGAATCTTACTAGAGAGCATGTCGAAGAGGATCGCGATGCTGGAGAACAAAATTGTCTAAGGACTCAAATCCCACTTCTAGCAACACATAAGAACATTCATCTCATACACACACACACACACACTTTTTACTTCCTGTTGAATTCTGAAGAGAAATCCTTGTGTGTGTGCATGCACCCTGACCTCTGCTTATATCCTTCTCTATCTCCTCCTCCTTTTTTTCAATCTAACCTCTGCAAACCTTGGGTCTCCTGAGACACAAAGCGCAGGTTGCCATGGGGACCACGCCTTTGCCCGTGTGTGCACTCCGAAGGTCGTCCTACGTTGCCTGCCTGTGTGTTTGTTAATAAAACTCTTCCCTCATAGGGAAACGGTGACAGTACACTGAAGGTTGTTTTTCTTAGTTGCTGCCACAGTATTTAATCCTAGAAGTCATGTTAAACAGAGCAGCAGTTGGTCTTGTCTGCTTATTGTCACCTTCCCTCTTCACTCTCCACTCTCCTGAAGGTTTCTCCTCTCCTTTCCTCTCTTTCCTTTATCACATAAATCTATCTGAAATTATTAAAGGTATATTTTTACAGGTAAATTAATATAAGATACATGTCTGTTCATAAGGGAACATCATTGATGTTTTTTTATTTTCCTAAATAAAAGTCATGCAGGAAGTAAATATTAAATTGTGGAGCGATTGTATATTGGAGACACGTGCACACAGACCAGAAGACTTGCATTATGATTTACATTGTTGAGTTCATTTAGCAAAAAGGAAATGGAATAATCAGAATTTTATATATTATAATAAGTATAGAACTACTAAGTGCAGAAAACCAGGAACATGTCTCTGAATACCACAAAAAAATATTTAAATATTTTAATAGACTGTGTTTACTATGAGGAAATGGTATTTACAAGGGGTTAATTGGCACCTTTAGTAATTGGAGTAATTTCTTAGGGATTCAAGAGGTAATGTTAGCCTTTGGCCATAAGTTATATAATTAAATGATTTATAATAATTATATATATATATATATATATATATATTCAATATTTAATTGTTACAATGTTATTGGTGGAATAGAAAAATATAGTTGTGTAAATTAGTAGACCTTTATGTAGCTATAACATATTGCAATGTTTTATAGTATTTTTCAATTGTATATTTTTATTATTTTTAGTATTATTATATGAACATTGCTGCCAATGGTAATTACATAATATAGAGCAATAATGAAGAAATGACTATCTTTCAAAAACAAAACTAAATAAATGGCAAAAGAGAATTAGTTACATTATCCTTCTGTTTGTGACTTTTTTATTAGAGAATTCTGTTTTTTTTTTTTATCTGAATATTTTTCGGGTGTTAATATTAAAATTCTGAGACAAACCAAAAATAATTTCCCCAACAATCTAAACCGTAATTAAGAACAATATTAATGTCATCTGAATAAAACTTACATTTAAATAACATTTTGGTACGTCGTGAAACAGATTTCATGTTTTTTAAAAAAACTGAAAGTTAAGGACGCGTCAGGATGACGTTGCAGGAATGAAAAAAACATTCACTGGAACAGCTGAAGACACAAAACCGCTGTTGGTACGGAGTCAAACCACAGCGTTATAAAAAATAATTTAAATTAACTGAATTCAGTAAATGTCGTGTGTCTGGAATTGGTACTAATTGAAGCTAACGGCCAACAAAGCGGTTCAACTTTTAATTCAAACCCAAATACGCAATTTAAACAAGACATCATCTGCTAATGCTAACGGATAAGTTAGCTCAACGGGCTAAAGCTGAACGCCAAGAGAGCGAGTCTGCAGGAGGAGAAAACCGGCTGTGAGAGGGTGGATGAGCCGCTGGACGTGACGGTGCTGCCTCGTTAATGATTTGCGGGACATGATTGCGCAGTGACCGAAGATTGAGCTGAAGACACATCAGCTAAGAACAGACACCTGAAAACACTACAGTTAACGGTTAGATTGAAGACTCGAGCTAACAGTCGTTAGCAGCCCACGGTGCTGCTGCAACAGATAACCAGAGATGGCCAGTAACACCGCAGGAGGCTTCACCTGCCCGACCAATGGTGACGACACGCCGGGACGTGTGTGCACCGTTCTTAGTGACCGCTCTTGTCGCCTCCACTCCGAGTCAGAGTCTGACATCGTCCCAACTGTGAAGTGCTTAGCCCGACTGTGCAGCAGGGACGAAGAGGAGAGAGCAGCGGCTCTAAGGGAGCTGAACCAGCAGGTTTTGCTTCGTTTGGAACTTGACAAGCCTGGTTCTGCACGCTTGAGTAAGCAAACCCTGCTGCAATTGCTCCGACTGTCCCGGTCGTGTCCGCTCCGGGAGGTTCGGGAGAAAGCAGGCGAGCTGCTGCGTACCGCACAGGTAATCGAAAAGTTTGGAAACTAGCAAACACTTGAGGGAAACATGGATGAAGGCGATATCTCTGACCATGTCAAGTCGCGATATTTTGTCAGGTTTTATTTATATATATCAATAAACGTCTGATTATTCAACGTTCTCGTATATATTTCCCTTTTACCCTGTGCGATTGCGGCTTATTTCATCAGACGTTAGAAGGTGATGCAAGAACAGACCCAGACACGCCCCCTCTCGGTGCCCTGAAAAGCCAGTCACACCCCCAGGCTCTCCTCACATAGAAACAGTCATATTGCCGTCGACTTCACGCACTGTTTATTTGTCCAATCTGCTGGAAATAACAAGCCGCGTCGACTCGGCCGATGGTTTTCCTTCTCTTCTGGCCATGGCCGTGAGTTTCAGTCACTTGTTTTGTTTGTAATTCCACGGGGCACACAGTTATGGTTATGAAACGGGTCCCTCCTGTAATGGCACAGCTTGTTCTCGTCACCAGGACTAGTTCGGTTCAAGGGGGTTCACTCTGCCTGCGTAGGTTTACATGTTAGTAAAGTGTTGACGAAGTTTTATCCCTACCGTCAGTGATTAAAAGCCTCTCTTTATTAACAACCTCAGTTTAAAAGCCTCTCTTTATTAACAACCTCAGTAAATTTATATGATAAATAACCTCAGTCTGTCATGTTGTTGCATGGAAGTTAGTATTGCTTTTTATTACTTTATGTAACATGATATTAACAGAATAATATAAATGTTATATTTTCTGTTTATTTAATGTTGCTGTAGGAACAAGGAGTTGAAGTTCCCAGAGTCCTGGCCTCCGGTCCGAGTACATTTATTCCTGCAAAACAGGTATTCATTACTGCAGTCAGTGAGTTTGTGTGTTGTTTACTCAGGTCTGTCAATGTCTTATTGAAATTGAATTGATGTTTTTTTTTAAATATATAGTATTAGAATTGGAAATGTTTTACCCTGAAGTATCCATAGCTGTTTTGCATTACGTTTTCCTGACGATCTCTTCATATTAGCACATTATGTTAATGTCATAAAAATGAGAAAAAGGGGCTGTGTTGTCGTTTCACCAGGCTTTCACTGTCGCTGTAGAACCCACTGATACAGAACACGATTTCGAATGACTTTGAAGCAACTTGGTATTTACATAATTGACGTGTTCTTCCTGGGAAGAACACAAACCAGTGTTTGTGACTGTAAATTGTTCCAAAGGAACATTTTTACTGAACTTTCCACCATGCCTGTCAGTCTGTTTAAGTAATAAAAATAAATATTTGTTCCCTGTAGGTAATGTGCTGAAAATGTCCCTCGCTTTGTCCAACTCTGACTCTCCACCAGTAAATTAAAATGTTTTATTCTTATACAAACAAATGAACTGCAGATAAAAGAAGAGGCGGTGTTATTTCAGCTGTCATCACATCAGACCAGGTTGGTGTTGGCATTAGTTTCTGTGTTTTCCTGCCAGGTTTTTCACAGTCATTTGTGTTTTTGATTAAAGGAAAACAATCAAAACAAACCCCGCATTGGATTTACAAGTCAGAGAAATGACTCACAACCGTCTTTATATCTTTAAGATCTGGAATTAATTATAACATTATGGCGTTGACCCAGTATTTAAATAAGTACTGTGACTATTGCTTCATGTCTGTGAAGAAAAAAAAAACTCCTGAGAAATGTTTCTTCTGCTGGTTTAAAAACACAACAACACCTCAGTTTTCTTGTGTGACTCACTTCAAGCCTCTCAAGCAGCAAAGGTTTTTGGTTCTGCCTCCAAGAGAAAGACTTCTGAACCGGATCCTTGCTAGTGCAGCATGACGCGTGTTAAAGATGGAGATTATGTTTTGGTATTGATCATGTTTTACTCTCTCCATTCAGATCCTGAAGGAGGAGATGGACCAGGACATTCTACTTGAGTCCTTCCTGTCTCTGGGCCGTGTGGATCACATGACCATGGTGATGGCGCTGCACCCAGCCTACCTCAGCTGCTTCCTGAAGGCCCAGCATGCTTTGCTGGAGCTAGATGGGCCCCTTCCCTGCCATTGGAGACATTACATTGTTCTTATGGTAAGACATGAATATCATATAATGTTAGAGACACTTTGGCATCTGGTTTGTTTCTCAGCCTTTGAGGATTTGGCCAGAGTTTGTGCAATAGGTGCACGGGATAAATAGAATATGATATTCATGAAAATATTCAAAAGATGGTGAAACAGACAGTGTCACAGTCCCAGAGAACTGAGTAAAGGTGGGAGACTTAAAGAAACTAAACACCTGGGAGATAAAGCTAAGGAGGGACTCTGAGTTGACTTTTAATTTGACCCAGTTTTAACACAGTACTAACTAGAACTATGAATACACGGGACAAAGGATGTTGAAGATGCAGCTGCCAGGCTAGGTTATTAATGTGTTATGTAGTTTGTTGTATTTAAGACGCTTTCTTTAAAAATATATATGATATGGAATAAATAAACAAATGGATCACAGTTGGTCCATCACAGTGGTCCATCGACATGGTTTCAGCGACCCTGCTGTGGGACCTGACCCCAGTCTTTGGGAAACAATAGTTATTAATGTCAATTGTCTATAAAAACCCACAGATGTTGCTACATAACAGTCTCACTACATGATCAATTAACCATGTAAATCAAGTGGAACTTGACGATCCTGGGTGAGAAGACATTCACCAGTGTTGTGACTGTGTTTTCGCCCCGTGTTCCTCTGCATCTGTGTTTGCTCATTTTGTGTTAAATGGCCCTGAAATAACAACAGCCATAAAGTCTGTAACTGCTCTGTGAAAAAGTGCAGGTACATTTATCTCACCCTCCTTTTAAACATAGGCAAAAATATTACGGCGCTAATGGTTATGTTGTGTACGTGAAATAAAGGCGGACTGTAATTTTTATCTTTTATTTTCTGTTTTAGTGGCTGAGTCGAGTGCTTTTATGGTTTGTTTTTTATATCATACCCTCGTTTATCTGGTCTCGCCGCTTCACCTTTATTCCCAGCCTTTAATGGTACTTTGACAGTATCACCATATTGTAGTTATTAGGTTTCATCAGCGTTGCTGTAAAGCTGCTTCCCCTGAGGCCTGCTTCTTTTTTTAAAATTCCCAGTCGGTTAAACAACAACGTCTAATACTGTCTGTCCAAAAATCAAAACAAAAAAAACATTGATTTTGTCAGCACGTCCTCACTGCCCCTCAGTGTGTGATTTTTAAAGACCATTTAACTGATCTTGTTTATCTTCAGCTAAAGGTCCCTGAACAAGTGCTCCAGCAGCATCAGCTACACATATTACACAGTTCTTACAGTTTATGGTTGAAGACATTTTGCACCAAGGCCCACTTAAGCAGATGGTACCGATGTTATGTCATTAAGCTGCTTCTCTTTGGACTTGTGCCACAGGTTGTTGACCCAGTGGCGTTCACTAAATCAGTGCAGTGCAGTGTGTACTGGAGACAGAGCAAACAGAGACGGGGTCAAGTTTGACAAGTGCTTCTGTGTCCCAATTCACACCAACAGGTCTGATGTTTCACAGTGGAAAACTCGGACCTGTTCCAACTGCTACTTCCGTTGTCTGCAAGAGCTGCAAGTGTATTTTTCTAAAAAAAAACATTCCAGCATTCCTGAATGCCACTTTGGAATTTCTGTGATAAATGTCGGGCCATTTTACACGAAGAACCCAAGTTGGGCTGTTTGGGGCTTCCCCAAACACTGGACCGGGGCCCAGTACTGGGCCATTGATTCTTTGGTACTGGGTCACATGGAAAGAATAGAACGTTTCATATCGATAGATAGATAGATAGATAGATAGATTATATATATATATGATGCACTTTATTATGCTTTTTTATGTATGTCACCTTCCCTCTCACACACACACACACACACACACACACACTTCCTGTATCAGTCTTCTCTGTGTTTTTTCCTGGCTGTCACTCATTCACTCTCACAAACGCAACAACAGCATTCTTTAGTCTTCAGCAGAGAGAGAGAGAGAGAGCGGAAGGGTGGGAGGAAGAGAGAGAGAGAGAGAGAGAGAGTGTTTATTATATTCAAGTTTCTGTTTGGTCTGATTGGACAATAAGACTGAAACAAAAAAAGAATCATCCCATTGACCATTGATGAGTGCTGTTTATTTCCTGTCCATTGGTCATTAATCTGTGCCTCGGTTTGATCTGGTTTGATCTGGTTTGCTGACTGCGTGTCTTCTCCACAGGCTGCAGCTCGACACCACTGCTCGTACCTGGTGCAGCAGCACAGTGCAGGTTTCCTTGAGGCCGGGGGAGAGGAGAGCTGGCTCAGCGGCATCCAACACGCTCCTACCAAACTCCGCAGCCTGCAGACACTCAACAAACTGCTAGCACACCGACCCTGGCTCATTACCCAGCAGCACATCCAGGTCAGACCCAGGTCATTTCTGTTACTCACTCATCAGTTCTCTATTTCACCATCGACCGTCATGATACGTCAGACTCTTACACTGTTTTCTTTTACACACTTTTCTGTGGAATTACTCGTCATACTTGTTGACTCATTTATGAGATATTTTTTATGACCAAATGCTTCTACTAACCCTCTCTCCTGCAGGAGCTGGTGTGTTCTGGTGCAGACCCTCGCTGGTCGCTGGCCGAACTGATACACGCCGTGATCCTGATGGCTCACGCTCACTCCCTCTCCTCTTTCGTGTGGGGCTGCGGCCTGAACCCAGAGCCTGACCACATTGGAGGTTACACATTTCAGCCTCCTTCACCCGGTAACCTTCCTCGGAGTCCTCACAGCCCCGCACATGAGGACGGCAGGCAGGAGGTGAGTCAGACGTCCCACTGTAGCTGCACTGCCACTGATGAGCACAAATGTCCATGGTCCTCATTTGTCCTTTTAATACTGTTGCCTTTCATTTGTCACTAAATTAGTTTTCCTCAAAAACCAAGTGTGTTGAGCAAAATCCTTTCTAGTTTGAAGACATGGTTATAATAGTGATGAATGAATAAATGATTGACTTTGAGTTCATGGGCCATTTGGTGCCGGGCCACAGAGAAAGAATTAATAATTTGTTTAATATAAAATAAAATACAGTTATTGCCATTTACTTACTAACAGATTTTGTTTTGAAAATGAACTAATACTTAATGGTCCTTAAATGATCATCAAGGCGCTACCGGTCTGCGGTACTGGCTGGTTTAGACCGATCTGTCCAAACCGATCTGTCCAAAAAAGGTTCGGGACTGCTGTTGTAAATGACTGAACATCTGAGTGCATCAAACATTAACTACATTTCTAACCAGGATTTCTTTATAAATCCAGGAGTCAAACTTTAGGAAAAGAACCAATCACAATGATTGTGCATTAATATTTATTACATTATGACATCATCAGTGTGTTTGACATTACTGCTGTTTGTCTAAAGAACGTCTCCTCATTTTGCCTCTGTTTACTGTGTGATCCTCCTGCTGTAAATCTGTATTCATGTCACAGGGAGGTTCACAAATGAAGCAGAAATTGCTGGCATTACCACTGTCTGAAAACGTTGTCGGCAGTCTGGCAGGACTCAGATATGAATTGTGTTGTCTCTTCTCTGTGAACAGAAGTGAATGTTGAGTCTTTAATTCAATAAGCACACACTCAGAGCGAGTGCATCAGAACCACAATGTACCACAGTGTCAGTGGGAAGAACAGATGTCAGTGATGTTGAATGTCTTTTTGTTCGTTCTGTGATTCACGTCTCTTTGTTGGTACTATGAAAGTCTCTCAATCCTCTTCTGTGTGTGTGTAGTTGGTTGAAGGAGCCATGGAGGTGGAGGTGCTGATGAAGAGGATGGTGGAGCTGCAGCAGCAGGAGGAAGAGTGCACGCAGGAGGAGATGGTAACACGCTTCGAGCGCCAGAGGAGTGAGAGCATACCGACAGGTACAAAGAAGCCGGTCTGACCCGTGTCTTTATCTGTCTTTAAGCCAAGTGATGATTTATACACGTCTTCCTGTTTAATTTAGCTGTGGTGCGTGAAGCTCCACCTGATCTGGTGCTGTGCCTCGTGGAGGATCCAGAGTTCAGATATGAAGATTTTGCCCCCAGGGGAGAGCAGGCTCCGCCCACCATGAGAGCACAGGTTGAGTGGAGCAGTGAAAACACAGTGTTGTTGTTGAAAGGATCGCATGTCTTTGTACAGGACACTGTGACTCAACTTAGAAATTAAAAATATAGATGTAGTAGTAGTTAAACCTGTTGGTGTTTTTCTGATAATCATTCCATTCTAAAGTTCTTTCCATCTGTGTGTTTGTTGGTGTCTAATGTTTGCAGGATTATTCTTGGGAAGACCACGGCTACTCTCTGGTTAACAGGCTCCTACCAGACATGGGCCAAGTGCTGGATGAGAAATTCCAGGTAAACACTCATAAATTCTAGGCAGTTCTACAATCTCTGCCATCTCAGAGTAACTTTATACCCTGTGTTTACTGAAACATGATCAGACAGACAAGACCGGGGTTGGTTTACATGTTTTCACATCAGATACAGTGACGGGAAGTGCAACAGAAAAACACTAAACTCACTGTCTCCTTCACCAGTGACACTATTTTTTTGCTTTTCATCACGGTGTATTAACACACTTGTTTGCGTAGACCATGAAGAATACACATGACCTCATATTTACTGGTCATTAACATGAAGAAACAAGAAATCTAACAGACTCTGCAGTGCTGTGTACAGCCTAGTAAAAACGAGGACGAGAGATCATTAAAGGTGGCCCCCGAAATAATATGGTTTAAAAAAAGTTGAAATATTTTTATAACTGATACCTAAAATCTGGTTATACTATTTTTTTCTTGTTCCTCATATTTTTTATAGAATATAACTCATCTAAAAATGTGACAAAAAGGCATATTAAAAAGAAATATGTTCAGCTAAAAGATACTGTATGTACTGCTCCATCAGCAATCGTATGTGTGACAAATATAAAGTGAAAAGAGGAAATGCACTGTTTGTCAACACTTCTGTTAATAAGGGTTGTTACAGTAGGAAGAAACACAAAGAGAAAGTTAGAGTTTGGTTCTTCATTGGTTATGACAGCAAAAAAGTCACTTATTTTTAAACATAAAATCTGTTTTTATTTTTGTTTCTTTAGCCTTGAATTGACCTGTGTTGTTATTGTACTGAATTATCATGTTAGGTGGTGAGCAACCTGACCTATCATAGGATGGCCATGCATGAAGGAGTGGACACACACACTCTGAGGAAAGCTCTGTGGAACTACATCCATTGTCTTTATGGGATACGGTGAGTGAATCACCTTTGTGAATGTAGAACAACAAGGTTGACATTTAGAAAATGACAGTGAAGTAATGACAGAAGCTACTGTTACTACTTGCTACGTTCACAACTATACTTCAGCCAAGTTGCTGATGAGTTGCTGCTGGATGTTCATAGCTGGAACCCTGCCTTTCCTCCGTGTCCATATTGCTCTTTGTTGCAGCTCTTACCTTTTTGTTTGTTCTGAAACAGATATGATGATTATGACTACGGCAGCGTGAATGTGTTGTTGGAGCGCTCCCTGAAGCTGTTTGTCAAAACCGTGGCCTGCCACCCCGAGCAGACCACCGCGCGCATCTACTACTCCTTCTGGAGGCACTTCAGACACTCTGAGAAGGTATGAATGAGCTCTGCAAACACCATCTCTTCAACCAGCACGAAAGACTCTCCTGACATTTTACTTCTGCCCCCCCTCCCAACCCCCGTGGAACCTTTTCAACAAGTAGCTGTTCATTTGACATTTGAGTCTTTCTCTTCTCCTTTTTTTTAACGTCTTTAGTGAATCAGACAATTCAGAAGTGTCACTACTCTATGTCTGTTCTCTTGTTTCTTCGCAGGTCCATGCCAACCTGATAGTCATGGAAGCTCGACTACAGGCAGCTCTTCTTTACACCTTACGAGCCATCACACATTACATGAGATGACACAGTCACTCGTAGTTTGCAGAAGCTGAGCCAGCTGGGATTTATACACAGTCCCACGCATAACACAGGTCTAGCTGTAAAGCGTGTATTCACACCCACAGACATCTCTGCCCTATCTACACACACACACACACACACACACACACACACACACAGATGCTGTATGGTAATGTGTGCATATCCTGTGTTGAAGTGTTAATGTTTTGATGCTGCTTTGCAACTGGGATGTCAGATATTTACGATGTGTGATTTTGCACTGAAATGTAACAGGTTTGTTTCCCACTTGAGCCTAATGTGGCTACCTGTTTGTGACAGGCATGTCTTTGTGACACATATCACTTGTGCAAGAGGAATGGTCTGGTTCATCCAGGTCTTCATCATCATTATGTTTTCAGGTTGTTGTTTTTTTGCAGAATTTAAGTTTATTTAACATGACTGCGTGAACGTATCACTCTTCAGACTACTACAGTCTCCATCCTGTGTTTCTGCAGCACTCGGAGGATGGAATAGGAAAAAAAACCCAGAATAACTTGTATTTTTTTATATACATTAAAAAGTTACTTTGTTATCATATTGAAATCTTTGGTTTAGTTTTTCTGTACTGCCAATGTAGGACACATAGAACAGAACAACTGACAGCACACTTTACATTTGCTATCTACCCAGGATCATATCAGCAAATTACATACACATTATCTTGTCAGCAGTTTTTTCGTAATGATATAGTGACAAGTACATTTTTAATCAAAAAATAACTATAGTGGAATTAAAACAGGTACAAACGTTAAAAAGTTCATTACAGCTTCAAGGTTTTTTGGTTCAACTATCTCACCACAAGAGGGAGACAAATATCACAGGAATCGATCATTTCTGGTTATATAAAGCAGCTACAATTCTTCAAGGTGAATTACTGTAGTATTCACAGTAGTGTCAATACAATGGATGTGAAAAGGTAAACTTCGACATACTGCAGAGAAGTGGCCAATGGCATTAAGATGTCAATTTAATTCTCTGTACTTGGCATCATTATCACAGTATGTTGGGCTGAATGTTTATACTTCCTGTAGTTTACACCGTGATCTGATGTGTCACATGTGCTCAGGCATTAAGGTGAAAATCCACATCTCAGTTGGTAGATTAGTTACGTATACATTTAGTCAGGGAGAAATTTCACACACCGTGTAGGATGGTGTGATTTTTAAGCCCAGAACTGTCTCACAGTCAACATTGAGACAGTATAGGAATAAATGTAACATTTTTTTGTAAACAATGTCTTAGTAGTTTGTAATGGAATAAGAAGCAGAGGCAGAGTTGGAAAAAAATACAATTTTATTAAAAATGGTTGTTAAACCACTGCATCAGGCAGTATTCCGTCATTTGGAGGAATAGTTAATTAAATGAAAAAAAAAATTGTAGAAATCAAAGATATGACTCAAGATTTATTTTCCATTGTGGTTATTGTTGCCTTATTTTAGTGTGTTATAGGAACAGACTTCTAAGTGGTTATTATGACTACTACGGTTAAATGGTTTTGGAAGAGAATTAGACACCACTGAAAAGTAATCTTTATCAACTTAACTACAGAAAATTTCAGTCTATTCACAGACATTAGTTATGGCGTCTCATAAGGCCCGAGAGCCACAGGTTGAAGAAATAAAAGGTTACTTTTTTCTAATTTGCCAAATACAGTAATAGTGGAAACCAAAGTTGATTCATGACTAACTGCTGACTCAAAACACAACAGAAGAAAATAACTTGTTTAAATTGTTTCCTTCTTGTTGCCCTTGTCTTTCTTTACAACTGTCCACTTTTTAACGCGCGTCGCTTTCAGGGCTGGACCTTGTAGTGCGCGTGCATTTCCCCTCTGACTTCCGCTGTGCGCGCGCGCACACCTTTCAGTTCACCGTTGTGTCTTTCAGAAGTGGCAGCGTAAACTGAACCGGGATTTAACAGAACTAAAGTGAGCTTTTCGCCGGTACGTACGCCTTTTTATTTATCATAAATGTTAAATATATTTAAAAAAAATTCTAAAAATGATACACCCATGTTTATTTTTGTTATATTTGTATTACTTATATCGGTTATTAATTGTCCGTGTTGATTGAAGGAGTTTATAGCTTCTGTTGTACAGAGACGCACTTTCGTTAAAGTCCCAAACAAAACAGGTTGGTTTTTATCTGCTGTTATGGGTCCAGTTTTAGGATAAAATATATATGTTGAAAATGAAGGTACCGCTGTAGTGTTTACAGTTGATGAAATAGTCAGTCTGGGTCTTTGGAGAAGTTTGTCTAATGTGCTAGTCTGCTGGTCAGACATTAAACTGTTGTCGATTTTTTGTTGTTGAAATATAACTGTCAGTACTAGTGTGTGTTAGAGAGAAGAGTTCACTGCCATGTTATTTAAAGAAGTAAATGTAGAAGAGGAGGTCCATCATTTAGAAGGACGCCTGTGGTGATGAGTTTGACACCAACAGGACCTGGACTTGTCATTCATTAGGTTAACCCTCACTCAGTTACACTCAAAAAGATGTGCTTCATTTTTGTCCCTCAGATAACAGACTTTTTTTGCTCCTTCAGTAAATGAATATGTTTTATTCACTAACACACTTACGGGAAATCAAATAACTTCTTGGAAAAAGACAGGACTGGAGCTTTTCCTTAGCATGTCCATCAGTGTGAGGTGTTCATTTCCTCATCTTGGTCGGGGCTATACATTCTTTTCTCTTTTTTTGTAAATCAGGTCCCCAGCTTCCAATCTGTGGTTTGTGGAATTTTGAGCGTCAGGCAGGAGAAAATACAATTAGACAGCCCAAGGCTGTGCTTCATCACTTCCTGTTTCTTCACAAGGTCAGTTCCTGTCTTGGGTTCA